TAATTTCATGTAATTCCTATGACAACCCTATGACGTAAGCATAGTCGTCAAGCCATTTTTTAAAAAAACTCCTTCTCTCTTTCTCTCTTTCTTCTTTCTTTCTCTCTTTCTTCCTTCCTTCCTTTCTTCCTTCCTTCCTTCCTTCCTTCCTTCCTTTCTGCTTTCGAGGGCACATGGGTGTGTATGAGTGGGGCGGGGGGACAGAGGAAAGGGAGAGAGAGAATCTTAAGCAGACTCCACACCCAGCACAGAGCCCCACACGGGGCTCGATCTCACCACCCTGAGATCACAACCTGAGCTGAAACCAAGAATCAGACATTTAACCGACTGAGCCACCCAGGCGCCCCAGGCCCATTGTTATAGATGAGGAAACCGAGATGCTCAAGGTGACACAGCTAAAAAGTGACAGCAGGGGTTCAAACCCAAGTCTCTCACTCTAGAGACCCTGCGCCTCTCTGGACCTTTCGGCAGAGCTTCCCAGCTGTGTTCCCTGCTTCACTTTTACCCTCCTCCCACTCATGCTTCATTTGGCGAACGGGCGTGAGCATGTGGAAATGCAAATTGATCTTATCATACCCTAACTCAGAAGCTTTCATCACATTTAAATGGAAATATGTATACAAAGATGAACTGACAGATGAATAGAGAGTTGGATAGGTGGCCAGTTTTGTGATAAGGAAAATCACAGTAAAATGTTGATTGTGAACTCTAGACAGTAGCTATAGGGGTATTCATTCGATAATTTATTCCACTTTTCTTCACTTTTGAAAATTTTCATGTAAAATGTTGGGAGGGAAGAGCCTTGATTGAAAAAAGAAGTCTAAGTTAAACAGCCTTTTGTATGGGGACCCTGGCTGACTTGGATTCGTAGGTCTGTAAGAATCCATAGTCGTAGAAGATGACTGTCTTTGCTCGGCAAGCAGGTTTCGATGTACAGAGAGACTTCTTGTGTCTCTGCCTCTCCAGTATTGGGAAAGAATGCTCAGATTGTGTAACTAAAGTACTTTTTAGAGAGGAAAATAAGCTCTTCTGGAGAAGGAAGTGGAACCACCTATTTAAAGTTTTAGGGCAAAGATAACCATTGCGGGGACTCCTGGGTGGCTCAGTCAGTAAAGCGTCTGCCTTCAGCTCAGGTCATGGTCCCAGGGTCCTGGGATCGAGCCCCGCATCGGGCTCCCTGCTCAGCGGGGAGTCTGCTTCTCCCTCTGCCCCTCCCCCCTGCTTTTGCGCGCTCTCTCTTTCTCTCTCAAATAGATAAATAAAATATTTAAAAAAAAGATAATCATCACATTCTACTTGTGGTTGCAGACAATAGAAAGGGTCTCATCTGTCCCTCGTACGTGCTTTCTTCTGTGCAAACTCAGAGTTCCAGATGTTTTGCCGTCACAGGTTCTGACTTTGTAAGAAACAGGATTGTGCCTTTCAGTAGGCTTTCTTTTTTCTCTTTTTGTTCGAATGCCCAGTTTGGAATGTATTTGACATTTAATACAAGTGATTCTAAAAGAAAAGTTAGATGTCACATCAGTTGTGCTGTTTGTTTTCAAGAAGGAGTCCTTTAGTTTGTGTCACTGATGACACTCTTGCTTGCTGGGTGATTTCAAGGCTCCCTTTCAGGCAGGCGGGATATACAGCTGTCCTTCATTGGCCTGTTTTTTTTTTTTCCCTTCCAGGAGCTTCCAGAGCAGTGTTTGGTAACATGAGGGGCGAAGGAGGAGACACAGATGCCTGTGGCAGAGGTGTTTGCTAAAACTTCAGGCTTGGTTGGCTAATATAATGTGTGAAAGACAGAATGTTCTTGCTTCTTTGGGAACCTTGATCCCTTTGCTTCTTGCAGAAGCAGTCAGCTGCTATCTTGGCTCACTCTCTGCCTGAGCGGATGTCCACAACAGCATGTGACCAGGTGTCCTCAAACAAGAAGAGTCTTGCCAGGCCTCTCTGTTGATTTGTTTTTGTACACCCCTATCTTTGCCTGATCAGGTGGTACTTTGCGCTGTGCAGACGCAGGAGGCTGGGAGGCCTTGGAGCTGGGTTCATCCTAGATTGGTACTTTCTAGATGAGTTTCTTTGGGCAAGTTACTCTGCTTCTCTCTGTGTCTGACTCTCTGGCTGTAAATGAGGGAAGTAGCAGGATTACCTGCCTCCTAGGGCTGTTGTCCATAAAGCTCTTAGCACAAGGCTTGGCATCCAACCAACACTGGATAAATGTCTCTTATTATGATGCTTATTCGGAAATTGCTTGTTTCATTCAAACATATATCTTTGAGATCTTTCAAGTTCCAACCGTCATTTTAACAGCTGCACCGTATTCCACAATTTGGAATATGGCCTCCTCCCAAAGCTATTCCTCCTTCAGTCTTCTCTAACGCAGTCCATAAAACCACCCCATGTTGACTCTCAGTTTCTTTTTAACGTCGTTTTCCATTCAGTTATTAAGTTCTACTCTCATTTTAGTTCCTAAATATGTCACTTAATCTGTCCCCTGCTCTTGATTGCCCTGCCC